GGGAAGCTTTGGGGAAGCTTTGGGGAAGCTAACTCTATTTTGACCACACTAAACTTGTCCCTAAAGTGCCTCGATCGCTTTTTTGGTCACTCGTATTTCGCAATATATGAAGCATTGCCAGTAACCACCGGAGTGTCGTTCCGGTCAGATTTGGTTGAGATTTGGTTGAGATTTGGTTGAGATTTGGGTCAGATTTGGTTGAGATTCGTTCGATTTCTTTTTTGATCGTTCGATTCCACTCGCATTTCACCCTCGAAATTTCTTCAATGCTTCAATTCAATTGAAAAACGTTTTAGCCTATTTTGTAGAGGAGATTTACAACTTTCAAATAGTTTATAATATTCATCGATATCAGGTTTCAATACGGTTCCAATACGGTTCCTATTTTGATCTATAACGGTTCCAATACGGTTCCAATACGATTCCAATACGGTTCCAATATTCTATCGTTGTAAATTTATGAAAATGTTGAAATCCGCATTTCTTATGCATGTACCTAATAATATCTTTTTTTTTCAGCTTTTTCAACTCTCAACCCATTCACCCAATTGAGGACGGACACGGAAAATTTGATGGAGAAGGAGCGGTAAGAAAAGAGCTTAAAAACATTGCTATATCTAAAAAAATAACTGAATATTAGATATATATAGATATCTCGAAATATTTAACTAGATAACTTACTGATATGCTAATTTGATTATGATAAATTTGAAACATTTTCCAGTTCCCCGCCGATGATCTGAGGGACGAAGAGAAAAGGATTAATCGGTGGGAAAATTTGAAATATTTAAAAGTTTAAAGCTTAGATAAGAGCTATTAGCTCTTTTAGACGATATTGATAGATGTTGATAAACTTATTTGATATCTAAATATTCGAGATTTTAGCCCAAATCACATCGAAATCCCGAACTCGTTCCTCGGCACCGAGGCCACCGCCGAAAAGGCTCTCTCATACGATACGTAAGTGAACTTTGGGTACTGTGAAAGTCATTTCCTAAACATCTCTTTGGATACTGTCTCTTTAGATCTTTAGATAATTGCTTATCAGATTTTTGGCTGTTGCGTAGTTTCCGGGTATTTTGGAAAAATTCGAGGCTTTTGAATGGATCATCTGGGCTTTGAAGGCCTATAACTTTGTCCAGAGATGATATTATTCAGAAGCTTTTATATCATTGTACAGAGAACATTTTAGGCTTTCAAATGATACCAAATAGAGCTTGATTGGATAATTGAGTCCAAGAAAATCAGAGCCGACTTTGGGCAAATGAGACTTATCCAACTCGGGTGTTGTGTCGCCTTGTTTGTATGGGAATGAAAAATCCAATCAAGCTCTATTTTGTATCATTTGAAAGCCTAAAACGTGCTCTGTACAATGATATAAAAGCTTTTGAATAATATTATCTCTAGACAAAGTTATAGGCCTTCAAACGGTGACGATCTGTTCAAAAGCCCCAGATTTTTCCAAAAGCCTCAGATTTTTCCAGCCGAAACTACGCAAGAAACAGTCTTTTTTTCAGCAACATCGCTATCGATGAGTTCTGTGCCCGCGTGAAAGAATACCACGAGAAAGATGACACCGTTTTTCACGATGAGTTTGAGGTGAGAGCAATGCCAGCTCATCCATTATTGTACTTGTCACCGAATTTTATCAACCAGGACCCGGCGACACTAACTGCTAAATTTAACAGAATTTTTGCATCCACCAGGTCCACTAAACCAGGTCCACTAAACCAGATCCACCAAATCAGGTCCACCAAATCAGGTCCACCAAATCAGGTCCACTAAAAAACCATTGATAAAGATTTTGGCGTTTCACTCCAAATTTCCTGGCTGCAGTCGATTTGTCGTTGAACTTTTAGGCAACGCGATCGCTGCAAGCTTTGTTCCAATATCAAAACAGCGTTTCTTTTTCTTCACAAGTGGTTCATCTGTTGTACAATTGTTCAGAGCTAGATCTTCAGAGCTAGATCTTCAGAGCTAGATCTTCAGAGCTAGATCTTCAGAGCTAGATCTTCAGAGCTAGATCTTCAGAGCTAGATCTTCAGAGCTAGATCTTCAGAGCTAGATCTTCAGAGCTAGATCTTCAGAGCTAGATCTTCAGAGCTAGATCTTCAGAGCTAGATCTTCAGAGCTAGATCTTCAGAGCTAGATCTTCAGAGCTAGATCTTCAGAGCTAGATCTTCAGAGCTAGATCTTCAGAGCTAGATCAGTTCAGGAGAACAGTTGAGCTAAAACTGGGGTTAGGGCAAAGGATAAACGGTCAAGTAATCTTCTGGAATCTTTGTTAGTATCAGATTTATTCCAAGGGCTTCTTGATGGGATCCAGAAAAAGTACTTGGGTATCCAGCTAGGTCTAATACTGGCTTAGGTTTAATACTGGCTTGAGTCTAATACTGGCTTAGGTCTAATACTGGCTTAGGTCTAATACTGGCTTAGGTCTAATAAGCTAAGCTAAACTAAGCTCAAATAATCCACAAGTTTTGGCGTTCATGATGGGTTTACTTGTGCAGGTAAATCCGGTATCGCCCTCTTTATTTGAAAGTTATACAATTTTAGATATAAAATCAAATCCTAGGTACTAAATCGTCAATCGGGATGGGGCGGTGTGGAAAGAATTCAGTCAATCAGCGGCGATTCGGAAGAAAACGCGAAAAGGAATCGTTTTCTCGATGTTCTCCCGTGTATGTTTAACACTCAAGTACAACACTCAAGTACAATACTCAAGTACAATTGTACAATACTCAAGTACAATACTACTAAATAATAAAAAAACGTTTAATCCTCAAGTATTTGATAGAAATGATTCACAAGATTTCAGTCGAAGCAAACCGGGTGAAGCTCTCGAAAAAGGGACAAGATTACATAAACGCGAGCTATGTTGATGTAAGGATTGAAAAGCATAGCTTTTAACCTTTTCTTTAATACTACAATAACTCAAAAAGTGATGGCTAGATGGCTAGATATCAGGTTCAACTCAATTTCTCTTGAAACTGAAATGATTTTTGGGAATGGAATCAATTTTTAGTCAATCTGGAAGTCAGGGGAACTAAATTTTGCATTTTTAGGGCCTAAGGATCATTAGAACCGTGATTGGAATCGGACTATTCAAGTTCAACTCAATTTCTCTTGAAACTGAAACAATTTTTGGGAATGGAGTCAATTTTTAGTCAATCTGGAATTCAGGGGAACTAAATTTTGCATTTTTAGGGCCTAAGGATCATTAGAACCGTGATTGGAATCGGACTATTCAAGTTCAACTCAATTTCTCTTGAAACTGAAATGATTTTTGGAAATGGAATCAATTTTTAGTCAATCTGGAAGTCACGAGAACTAAATTTTACATTTTTAAGGCCTAAGGATAGTTAAAGATATTTAGAGAATAAATTGAAATTCCCCGGCTGAGCTCAAGATTTTATCAGCCAAACCAGGCAAGACAAAGCAAGACAAAGCAATACAAAGCAAGACAAAGCAAGACAAAGCAAGACAAGTTTTAGGCCAACAATGCAAGGTAAGATAAGTAAAATAAAATGCTATGCAAGTACAAGATTCTTTAATTTATCTAAATTTAAGCTATCTAGATAGACCTAGATCGATTTCATTTATCTAAACCAATTTCAGAGCTAGATTTCAGAGCTACAATCACCCGAAATTCTTCATCGCCACTCAGGGCCCACTCGGAGAGGCGGAAGTAAGTGTAAGTGCCTTGTTGGAGATTCGTTGATCTGGTGGTATTGCCCTAATCGTAAAAATCGATGCTGCTGTAAATTCAAGTCGTAATATTGGGTTGGTGAATTGAAAACTGCCGGCTATTGTGACATTTTGAGCATCAAATTTGAATTCAGGGCATTTTTTCGCATCGAATAGCACTTGCCGTGAGCAAATTTAACGGCAATAGCATTTTCGCGCGGATGTGCGCCACCCTGTAGATCAGCTAACTTTCCAGAGTACCACCAGGTCAATGAATCATCCAATTTTACCCTAGACTCTCATTCAGCTAATCAATCATCCCAGCAACAATTTCAGTAACATTTTCATCAGTTTTTACGTTTAAAATCAAGCTTTTCAGGTAACTTCTGGCCGTCGCGTGGCCACAGTAGATGATTTTTGGGAAATGGTATGGGAAAAAGATTGTCAAACAATAATCATGTTGACACAATGTATCGAGAATTGTCGAGTAAGTGAGGCTGTTGAATTTAAGTGCTTAAATCTCGTAAACGTTTCCCTTCTGGCTCATTGGTTTCCATTTATGCGAAAGAAGTAGCAGAAAGGAAGATCAGAAAGCAGAAAGGAAGATCAGAAAGCAGAAAGGAAGATCAGAAAGTAGAATCGAAGAGTTAATAAAGTTGAAATAAAAAATCGTCCATTGAACCAAAACAATGAAAATTTGATTTTAGCCAAAATGTGCTCAATATTGGCCGTCAAATGTGGGCGAAACATCGAAATATCGGGGAATTGAAGTAATATTAACAATCATTGTTTAAAATATTATTCAAATTTACCATTCTATTGTTATTGTTGTTGTTTATTGTTGTTGTTTTATTGTTGTTGTTGTTTATTGTTATATTCTTATTGAATTTTGATCTTTAGGTGGATTTAATGTCAACAACCGATGATCCAATCTGTTTACATCGTGAGTTCGATGTTCGAATGGGATCTGCTATAAAAGAGGTTTGGGAAAAGCCTTCAGGATCAGGAAAGGCTTCAGAATGTATTTTGCCTTGTAGACTTGACTAGAATCACTTGTAGACTTGACTAGGACTTGTAGACTTGACTAGAATCACTTGTAGACTTGACTAGAATGACTTGTAGACATTTTAAAATATCTTGTAATAAACCTTGTAAAAAGATATCCTTTCTGATGCCCTGGATTCACTTCCAGATCTCTCAATTCCATTTCAAAGAGTGGGAGGACTCAAAAGCTCCGGAAAGTCGCGAACACTTGTTAGACTTTGTGGAAAGAATTCGGAAAACGAGGAATAAAGGGCCCATTCTGGTGCATTGCAGGTAAAGAAGGGAAAAGAGATTTCTTTGAAACAAGACAGACTTGTAGACTTATAGACTTGTAGACTTGTAGACTTGTAGGCTTGCAGACTGGTAGGCTTGTAGACTTGACTTGTAGGCTTGTAGGCTTGCAGACTTGTAGACCTGTAGACTTGTAGGCTTGTAGACTTGTAGGCTTGTAGGCTCTAGACTTGTAGACTTGTAGACTTGTAGACTTGTAGACTTGTAGGCTTGTAGACTTGTAGGCTTGTAGGCTCTAGACTTGTAGACTTGTAGGCTTGTAGACTTGTAGACTTGTAGGCTTGTAGGCTTGTAGACTTGTAGACTCGGAGATTTGACTTGTAGACTTGTAGACTTACAGACTTGCAGACTTGTAGACATTGTAGACTTGGAGGCTTGTAGGCTTGTAGGCTTGTAGATTAAAGTCCAGCTGGATCTTGCCAAACCTAGCTTAGCATTGGGCCTCTCCTGGCAATTGATTCATGACCAGTTTCATGACCAGTTTTGGCACATTGATATCATTCGTTTTTTAGTGCTGGTGTTGGCCGAACGGGTGTCTTCATCGCTCTTTACAATCTCCTCTGTCAACTTGCCGATCCGGCTGTCACACACGTCGATGTATTCAAAACGGTTTCGAAATTGAGGTAAAGAAATAAGGAATGATAAGGAAAGATTTCTGGAGATGGGATTGAACCCTTCCCCTATGAAATCCTTGATCTTTTTTACCGGACAATTGCTCTAATCACTGAGCTATCCGGTACCATCACTTGCCAAAAGAGAAAAACACAAAGATAAGGGGGAAGATCCTTTTTCACGGAAGCGTACCAGCTGCCTCGTTGGCCTAGTGGTTAGTGCGATTGCCCCATAGGCGAAATCCCGTAACTTTGCACGGGTTCAATCCCCCGTACCGCCATCTTTTGCTTTTTTGATTTTTTTGTGATCTTTAATTGACCAAATTCATTATATGCATTTTGGTGAAAACAAAAAAGCGTAAGGATACAAATTACGTTTTGATAACCCTTTAACTTCGGACCAACGTAATTCTTACTGTGGTCACAGTAATTCTTACTGTCAACTTCAAATACAGTACACTTTTAGCTCTTTTAGCTTTTAGCTGATCTCAGAAAGGTTACGATTCTAGTAAACATTCGAAAACTAGTAGACAATCTAGTAGACAATCTAGTAGACAATCTAGTAGACAATGACTTTTAGAGAGCAACGCGTTCGCATGGTGCAAACTCCGGAACAATACGTGACTCTTTATGACACTCTTGAGGCAGCCATTCAAGCACAGTAAGCTGTTAGTGGAAAAAACTTTGCAGAAGACTAAATTCTAGATTACAAAAGGTGATAAAGCTCGTTTGATTTTTACAATTTTAGAAAAATCGTTGGAGAGGAAGTGAGGACGAGAAAACGGGGATCAATGCATGATTCAGAGACACAGTCCGAGAATGAATCAGTCGAGAATTTAAGAGTCTAGCTTAAGAGTAATCTAGTCTAAGAGTAATCAAATAATTTAAACTGTAGGTTTACTTTATTCGTTTAAAAGTTTAAGTTCATGTTTTTCTTTTGTATCTAACTTTGGAAAGGCTTTCAGTAAAGGTTTTCAGTAAAGATTTTCAGAGGTTTTCTTTTCAGATGTTTTCGGAGGTTTTCTGATGTTTTTAGATGTTTTTAGAAGATGTTTAAATGTCTAAAACCCGCTAAAACTGTTTACTTGACTCCTCGAATACAGTAAACCCACAGTAATCCTTGTGTTCGATAGCTGATGGCTGTAATCTTTGTGATTCCCTGGAAAATCCTTAGCTAATCCTTAGCTAATCTTTAGCTAATCCCTGGAATCCAATACAGTAATCCAATCCAACTCGATAGCTGATGGCTGTAATCTTTGTGATTCCCCGGAAAATCTTTAGCTAATCCTTAGCTAATCCTTAGCTAATCCTTAGCTAATCTTTAGCTAATCTTTAGCTAATCCTTAGCTAATCCTTAGCTAATCCTTATCTAATCCTTAGCTAATCTTTAGCTAATCCTTAGCTAATCTTTAGCTAATCCTTAGCTAATCCTTATCTAATCTTTAGCTAATCCTTAGCTAATCTTTAGCTAATCCTTAGCTAATCCTTATCTAATCCTTATCTAATCCTTAGCTAATCTTTAGCTAATCCTTAGCTAATCTTTAGCTAATCTTTAGCTAATCCTTATCTAATCCTTAGCTAATCCTTATCTAATCCTTAGCTAATCCTTAGCTAATCTTTAGCTAATCCTTAGCTAATCTTTAGCTAATCTTTAGCTAATCCTTATCTAATCCTTAGCTAATCTTTAGCTAATCCTTAGCTAATCTTTAGCTAATCCTTAGCTAATCTTTAGCTAATCCTTAGCTAGTCCCTGGAATCCAATACAGTAATCCAATCAAGTAACGCTATCTTTCTCTGCGTTCATTTTCTCTCTTTGTAATCCCTTATCAAAATTTGCATTTTTCAAAGCTACAGTATGACGTTAAAATTACCGTAATCCCATTTTTCAAAGCTACACTATAACGACAAAACTACCGTAATCCCATTTTCTATTTCTTAGTTTACCAAGCGGGTGTCTGTAGTTTAAAAAAAAACCTCCCACAAATCCATAAATCCTTTTTGCTTTTCTGTTATTTTTAAAACTTTAATTTTATTTTAATAGATTTGCTTGTGATAAATGAATAAAATGCTTGGCCTTGATCCTCCAAAAAGTCGTAATACATAAAATTCGCATATTAAGCTTTGATCTGTGCCTTCCAGATCGGCCATATCCGGAAAAGGAATCATGGATTGCCCAAGTGTTAAAGATCTTAGAGCTTCAGTCAGTTCCTGGGTGGCTTTGGCCCATCAAAAATTCGCGATATGCCCTAATTTGCATATTGAGCCTTGCCAGCTTGGCCAGCTTGGCCCCTTGCGTTCCAGCTTGGCCCCTTGCGTTCCAGCTTGGCCCCTTGCGTTCCAGCTTGACCCCTTGCGTTCCAGCTTGGCCCCTTGCGTTCCAGCTTGGCCCCTTGCGTTCCAGCTTGGCCCCTTGTGTTCCAGCTTGGCCCCTTGCGTTCCAGCTTGGCCAAATTTGATCTCAATTACTGTACCGACATTGCTGACAACATATCGGCAACTGGCGAAGCGGAGCCTGATGAGGAACCTTCTCGAAATCGAAAAGTGACCCCACCCAAGATGGGGTCAAAGAAGACATTGAGACGTCGAGTGTTATGACGTCGAGACCAAGCTTATGGTTGTCGCTTTTGCGGAAAAGACGGACAAATCAGCGGCCGCTAGAAGATTCGATGTTTATCCATAAAATATTCTCTAATGGTGTAAGCAAAAGGACGTTCTTGAGAAACAAAAAGGAAAACAATCGAAGCGCCTTGAGAAGCGCCTTCAAGGTGGTCGAAAATTGAATGACGCAAATTTTGACAACAAGCTTGTCAATTGGATCCGATTGAAGCTCAATTGGAAGCGATTAAAGAAATGGCGATTGAGTCGCAAGATGATCCAAAGCTAAGCTTGAATGTAATGGAAAAGCGACAAGAATCAGCATTGGCAAATTGGCTTCAATTTTCAGCATCAATTGGCTGGCTGTTGTTCACAATTCGATGTTTTGTTCGAGGAGTTAGCATTGGCTTTGGGCCCATTCAACGTCTAGGAGAAGAAAGAACTTATTTCTTTGAAAATATCGATGAATCACCCGATCGTTGTGATCCAAAATACCCGAATTTTGATCGATTTATTGTTTTGATCGATTTCTTATTTTGATCGATTCCTTGTTTTGCAAATGCGTATCGATTTGTCCTTTTTCGTAGTCTTTCAGCTGAATAATTTGAAACACCGTCCGCCCCATCCAGATTGGATTTTTTTCTCATCGCTGAAAATCCACCAAACACAAAAAAAATAGCTTAGAAACCACACCAAAGCCTTACCTGAACAAAAACGTCATTCATGTGCACTTTGGCAAAGTCCAAACGGGCCTGTTTGTGTTCTGGCTTCAAGGCTGGCTGCTTATTGAGAAGTTCTCGATCAATGTGTGAATCAATTTCTTTGACAGCTCGCCAAAGTCTTTCAATGACAGCTCGACTTAGATGCGTCAATTTTCAGCTTGTCCATGACTTCGTTGCTCGATTTCCCCGTGGATGTTGTTCACAATTCGATGTTTTGTTCGAGGAGTTAGCATTGGCTTTTGACCCATTCAATGTCTAGGAGAAGAAAGAACTTATTTCTTTGAAAATATCGATGAATCACCCGATCGTTGTGACCCAAAATACCCGAGTTTTGATCGATTTCTTGTTTTGATCGATTTCTTGTTTTGATCGATTTCTTGTTTTGCAAATGCGTGTTGTGTCCTTTTTCGTAGTCTGTCAGCTGTCCATTGTAACTATTGGGTTGGGGAGAATGAGTCGGCGCCGAAAATCAAAAAAATGTCTAAAACTTCTATTCGACTTCGTCAAATAATATGCGTTTGATATGAGTAGAATGGTTAACTAATTCTCTACAAAATGACATTTAAAAGAAAATTCAAACAGCGCCTCCGCTCAAGAAAAAGCCATTTTTTCATAAAAACTACAAACTGTCATCTAGAAAAAACCATTGGTGGGATCTTCCTGCAAATTTGGCAACTTAAGTAATTGAATGTGCTCTATCTTTTTTATATAAACACCAAAGGAGGTTTATGTGAAAGAAACTGTTCAAATGATGAGTCGGACTCTTTGCCATTTTAACCAGCTGCGTTTGGAAGTTCATAAACTCGACGAAAGAAAAGCTTTGTGGAATTTCTCAAAAGTGATTTTGTAGAGAAATAGTGGATCCTTTTGATGAAACCAAACGTATGTTTAAAGAAGGCTTTATGTGTGCAAAAAGTCCCTTTAAAGTTTGGCGCCGACTCATTCTCCCCAACCCAATAAATTCCCTTGTTCAAAGCAATGGTATCCTTTTGAAAAGTTATCATTCGATTAACTTTCAGAAAACCAAATCGCGAATCTAGTTGTCCCTTCCGACTAATAAGTGACACCAATGAGTCAACCAATTCACTGGTCTAGATTCCGGTAACTTTTCTCTAGTCGCATCTAATTTAGAAAATGAAAATTAGATGCAAGATGCAGCCAAAGACTTCAAACGATTAAAATTTATTCGTTTTGTTCTTTTTAACTAAAAAGAGTCAATTTTTTAAAAGAATCAATTAATCAAGTTACCGTAGCCCTTATGGAGTTTTTAGGGTTTTAGGCTACGCTTTTTCCAATAAAGAGGATACTAGAATGCTAGCTAAATTAGTTTTTGTGGAATCGCAAAAAAGGGAGCGACGGGGTGCGGCGCAAGACACTCGATTAGCCTAAAAGACTGAACACAACACAGCCTGAAAGACTGAACACAACCGTCAGATCATAAGTCCGACGCTCTACCACTGAGCTACATCCCCTACAAGACGGCGCAAAAAGAAAAGCATTTTAATGCAACTCTCAGTGATGAGTCACGCAACTCAGCTCAGCGCACTCCAAAATAATATAACGCAAGAATACGGCTGAGAAAAGGCAAGAAAATGACTGAGAAAAGGCAAGAAAATGATGCTTTCCCCTCTCCTCCACGCTTTTCATCTTTCTCTCTTTTCTCTCTACTTTCTACTATTTGTTTTCCGAAACGACCTGATAAGCCATAGTTCCTAAAGTTCACACAAGTCTTCTTCTTTTGGTTTGCAGTGCAATATTTTCAGATCTTCCCTTTTCAATTGATCTATAACCTATTAAAGTATTATTTATTCACTACCTCATTCACTATTCATTCACTTAAAGCTTGCTATTAGCTTGAATTTTGAAAGAGGTAAGAAATTGTTATATATTAAAGCAAAAGAAATTTTTGGATTCTCCAGATCTCCGTATTCTGAGATCAACATCACTAAAAACTGTATTTTTATACAATTAAATGTAAACTAGTTGATCTTTAATACATAAAAAGATCAAAAAATAGATAGTTTTATGGATTTTGATTGGGAAACAACAAGACTTTTATCTGAATATTCTTCAATTTAACTTTATTAAAGCTGGACTTCTACAGTCCGTTTCATATTTCTTTATCCACCCCCCAAAAATAGATTTTATGGAGAGTGGGTGGAGATATCGAGCTATTTTCTTTTGCAAAAGAAAGGCCACATTGCAAAACCCTAACAACACCTTTTTTGGGTTACTGGATTTTATCAACAAAAAACGAAGAAAGAAGATTCTGCGACCGGCTCAAATAAATTCCTTATCCACTAGGAATTTGAAACACATTATTAGCATAACAAAAAAAGCACAGTTGTGACACTAATATTTTGATATAGCTTCGGACCGTTTAACGTCGTCCGAAACAGTTCGTAAATTGTCTTTTATGTTTGTAAACATCCCTGACAAGGGTGCCCCACGGGTTTTCAATGGGGTTAAGATCCGGGGATCGTGCTGGCCACTCCAAGATGTTGATTCCCTGCGAGGTCAACCAGGGT